CAAGGGCAGAGCTCACGTTGCGAGCTCGGGGATACATTTGGGCTGGAGCCTGGGCAGGGAGGAAAGCTTTGCCATCCTGGAAAATCAACAAAGTCTGTGTTCGGCTGCTAAAACCCATCCCCACACTTTTCTGGTGCGATTTAAGGAGATGAAACAGCTCCTTCTGCCTTCTTTCCCATTCAGGTGCTTCTGATCATAAGTGGGAACCTGAGTTTCCTGAACTGGCTGACCATGGTGCCCAGCATTGCCTGCTTTGATGACGCCAGCCTGGGCTTCCTCTTCAGCTCCCGGCGCGGAGGGGTGAAGGAACGTGCGGCGCAGATGACACTCAAAGAGGCAGATGGAGAAAAGCTTCCCTTGGGTGAGTTATTCCCAGAGGTGGGAAAGTTGGGCAGAGGTGTGTTTGATGTGCTTGGCTCCAAAGCTGTCACCTCCTCTGGAGCAAAGCTGAGGGGGCAGGGAGGGGCCCTGCTCCTCCATGGGGTGGACCTCACGCTGCAGATGGTGACGTGAAGCTGGTGGCTGGTTTGTAAGGGTCTGTGGGGACATTGCCAGGGGGACATTGCTTCTAGGACATGTCCTCTGTGCAGGGCTGGTGTCCACAGCAAGTTCAGGCATCTGCAGCTCTGAAACTTCTGCTCCTGAGAGTCAGTGCTCCTTGCTCTCACCCCAGTGGGCATCAGACTCCCAACTATTTCAAGCAGTGTGGAGCTGCGCAATTTATCTTTTGATTATTATTTTTTATCTTTTTTTAACATTTTGACTACTTGAAGTCAAGGATGAAAGACCCAGTGCCGTTTGAGGTGAGGATTTTGAGTCAAAAGTTGGGTGTGGAAGCAGCTCTCACATTTGCTCTCCTCACTTGCTCTCTTCTCCATGGCACGATGAAGAGAAGGTTCCAGAGAGACCTGCCAACCCCTGCCAGTGCCTAACGGGGCTCCAAGAGAGCTGGAGTGGGACTTCAGGCAAGGGCCTGGAGTGACAGGACAAGGAGGAATGGCTTTCCTCTGACAGAAGGGAAATTTAGGTTGGATTTATGGAAGAAATTCTTGGCTGTGAGGGTGGTGAGGCACTGGCACGGGTTGCTCAGAGAAGCTGTGGCTGCCCCATCCCTGGAAGTGTTCCAGGCCAAGTTGGACAGGGCCTGGAGCAACCTGGGCTAGTGGAAGGAGCAGCTGCTTTTGCCACCACTTGATACTGTGGGCACCATCACAGCAGGGAGTGAGTTCCCCAAAGCAGGGAGGAGGTGAACTGACATTCATTCCATGAACATGGAAAAGCAAACGCAAGGGAGTTTGTAACTGGAAAAAGGGATCAGTGTATCTGGTGTTTCCTTCCAAAGGCAGTTTTCAAGCAACCTTGTTCCAGAAGGTCTCTGCACAAGTAACACTGGGATGTTTTTCATGGTGCTGCATAACAGATGTGGAGTTGTGTTTGTAGCATTTTTATAAACCGCATATAAGCAACAAATTGCCTACAAGATCAACAACAATCACAGATGCTCCTTTTTAAATATACTAAACAGCTGTCAGAAGAATGAGAAATGCCACCAAGACACAGCATCTGTCTCTAGTCCTTTCTCGTCTACCAAGAAACAGCTTGTTAACCAAAAATGTTAGTTCCAGCAAGGCTAACACACAGGTTGCTCCTTTTGGGAAGAGAAGCCACAGGGCTCCTCTCTGTGAAGGCACTCGGTGAGTCACTGTGAGGGCAAGGCAGATCCCTCTTCTGAGGAACTTGCTGTTCTCCAGGGAATCTGACTGAACCAGGGTGTTCCAAGCAAGGAGAACCATCTGTTTGTACCACTCCTTTCCAATATAGATGTGTCTGGGCTGGGCAAAAGGGACAATCCGTAGGGGTGAGGTGTCTGTAATATTGTGGGAGTTTGGATTTCTGCATGCTTTTCTGCTAAGAAGGCAGAGGCTGTTGAGCTGGTGCTGATGGGCTGAGTGCCAAGAGGCTTAGACAAGCCCTCACCCCTGGCTCACCAGAGCAGAAGACAGGATGGTACCCAGCCATGCCCTGCTCATGACCTGATTTTACAAGGCTCTGGCCACATCCTTGAAGTGTGTGTATGATTCCTACTGAGACTTCAATTCCCATCCAGGTCTCATTGGCACATGTCCCATGCTCCTTCCACAAGTTTTGCTCCATCCTTGCCATCTAGTTTATTTTTTCTTGTATTGAACCCCTTTTCTCTATGACTCAGTAGCTGTGACCCCAAGGGCATGACCACATGATGACTGTCACCACCTGCTGAAGTCTGAGCTGTCCATGCATGGCCATGAGCTGAGACTTGAGGAGTCAGGTGGGGACTCTGTGTCTGGACCTGCTCTTTAATTACAGGGTAGGAAGTTCAGCCCATCTAAAAGATGAAAAAATGCCTGACAGCCTCATGCACAGCAGCACAGGGGGTGAGGGAAGGCATCTCCTTCCCAATTCAAATGATTCTCCAGAAATGTTCTCAGACTAAACAATTATTAATAGCTTCTGAGAGAGGTTCAAATAAACATCCCTCTCCTGCAGAGATAAGGGGAAAGCTCCACACAATTGCTTTGAATCTGATCCTTTGGCTGTTAATGTTAAATAAATTGAAAAGGGCCATGAGGGTAGGAGCCCCTCGGGGGTCACCTCTGCTTATTTGTCTGATTGTGTCTGTGTCTGCTCGAACTGGGATCCAGCACAGCCCTGTGCTGCTCCTGCATACCCAGTTCCAAAGCACTGGCAAAGCAGCACACATCTTATCCAGAAAAGATAAGGAATAGAGATTTTGTAAAAGGAAAACCACTCAGGATGGTGAGAGCCTGGGGCAGCAGAAGGAGGCAGGAATGGGGCCACGGGAGCTGGAGGAACTCCACACACAGCAACCAAACCAGGAGGGTGATGGGAGCAAGGTGCAAGTGCCAGCTGTGTTTTTTCCCCTGTATTAAAGCAATGATTAATGTTACATTTTAGACATTTTTCTTCTTAGTCCTTTCTCAGACTATTTAGAGAAAGGCAGATCTCGGGAGCGATAGCGAATGGCCCTTGGCAAGGTCGCAGTGATTACGGTGGAGTTTTGTCGGCTGCTGGGCCAGCACAGGGAGGTCCCACGGGGAGGAGAGAGGGGAGAGCAGAGCCCATCACTGGCACTGAAATCACCTTCCTCTGCTCTGTTTTTGTCCCACACAGGCTGCTACATCCGCAGGGTGGTGAACATCTCCTTCGGCCTCCTGATTGCCTATCTCAGCATCCCAGTTATCCTAAACCTGCTCAACTCCAGACAAGTCATGAACACCTCGTTCAACCCCCTCAGAATAGTCAACACCTACGGAGCTTTCGGAAGGTACATGTGTTTCAGTGGCACATCCTTTAACTCTGCTTCTCTCTCCAGTATTTTCCAAAGCAACATGTTCTGTGTGCCTTAAACTTGAACAGAAATCCTTCCAGCAGCCAGTAGACTTGGAATATCTGTTGCCCACAGAACGCTGTGGATGCCCCATGCCTGGAAGTGTTCAAGACCAGGCTGGATAGAGCTCTGAGCAACCTGGTCTAGTGGAAGGTGTCCCTACCCATGACAGGGGGTGCAACAAACTGATCTTTAAGGTCCTTCCAACCCCAACCATTCCACGATTCTAGGATCTAATTAGGAGAGAGAAGGAAAGAAGGAATAGGTTTCTTCCCCAGTGAATTGCAGTTTATGGAATATCTGTTTTATGAGAACAAAGGAGAAAAGAAGCAGGTTTCTTCCCCCTGAATTACAATTTATGGAATATCTGTTTATGAGACAGAAGGAGAAAAGGAACAGGTTTCTTTCCCACTGAATTACGATTTATTTTCTTTGATCCGCTTTTAGCTCATTCTACCAACGTAACAGATGTAATAGCAGGATGGAAATATCCATAAGAGAGTTCATCCAATGGATAGTCTTCACCATCACCAGCTCACTTTATTTATGGTGAACTTCTCTTCCCCTGCACTCATTCACTCTCCTTCATGTAAATATTCACAGCAGCTATTGGGTAGCAGATTTTAGGCCAATAAAAGGAAGTACTTTTTCCAATGAGTAACTTGGGGAATTCATTGCTACAGGAAACTGTGGAGACAAAAGTATAAATGGCCTCAAAAAAGAACAAGACAAATTGAGAGGACAAGGCCAGCACAGCCTGGCTGCTGCCTTCAGCTCAGGAAATCCCACTTAGGGCTGCAAGGTGGGATGGACAAGGGAAGCATCTCCAGCTGAATTTGGATCTGGGCTGGTTTGGGCTGGGTTTTAAGCATCTGAGTCTGGATTTTCTGGAGATTTAGGCTTAGGTGGCCACAACTGAGCTCAGCATATCAGTTCTCATGTACAGTCCCTTCCAGCCTCTTCGAGCTGGGAAAATGATGAAAAACAGGGCTGCATCATCAGAATGACTTGTTCCAAGGGCAGCAACAGGGCCAGACCTCTCTGAATGGACCTGTTGCTTTGCCACCAACAGGTCATGGTGGCCATGGGGTGTTCCCCAGAGGTCTGAGACTAGGGATGGGATGGACAGCTCTTGGGTTAGTGAGCTCTAGACAAGGTCCCAGAGGAGAATCCAACAGCAAATAAATGTACTTTATAGAAAGGTTGGCTGTTAATGGCCTGACTGAGCGGATGGTGAAGGGGAGGAGCAGGTCTCACCACAAGCACTGGAGATGCAGAGGACACATCAAAAGAATATAATGTTTTCCCCAGTTTTTCAAATAGCAGAGATTTCTGTGGAAAGAAAAAAAGCTAGGAAAAAAAAGTTGTGGAAAATGCCAAAGTTTCTCCTCTTCTTTGAGAGAGGGAGGAATAACCCCTGAACCTCTTTGAAGGCTGAAGTGGTGAAGCTACGGGAGATTGTTTTCTTTGGGTTGTTGTTCTCTTTCTTCTTCAGTCTATGGTTTCTGTTTCAACAGTTACCAGAACCTAAAGAGCATGTGATGAAATGCTGCTGTAGTATGTTTGTAATTCCAGCCTATGTAAACCAATAAAAAGAGGATTGCAGCTTATAATGAATATACGATTATGTGAAACTTGACATATTTTGAATCACACAGTAGGAACATACTTTTATTAGTAATTTGGTGTCCCTGATTTACAGTGTGTTTCTAACCATTGGGCAGCTGGCCACGGCTCATAACTCAGCCCAGTGTATAACATGGAACTTGGCTGGAGAATCCAGAAATCTATTAAATGTAGGTAACAATTATAAGTGGAGACGCACACCATTCCCTGGATTGTGAGCATCTGTCCCTGGAAGCCATGAGGGGAGAAGGTGGAAGCTGTGTGTTTCCAAACTTTCTGTTTCTTAGGTTGGAGGAGGGAGGGACCAAAGTAGAGAAGAATTAAAAGGGTGTTGGGAACTGGACACCTTTGATAGGCAGATTTTGTAGTTCTGTGCTCATTATGGAAATAAGCTCTTCAGAGTAGTGAGTGTCACTGGCAGGTCATCGCAGACCTGATGATGGTGTTTTCATGTGGGCTCTGTGTGGCCTGGAGTCTGCCATCCCCACTGTGCTGCCACCTTGCTGTGCAGAGAGAGTGCAGCTGAACTACAAAGGCTCATGACCTGACACATGACCTGCCTCTGATCTAGAAACACAGACCTATCCATTTCTGTGGGAGTCATCCCTTTGGGCCACAGTCCATCCTTGGACTGGCGCAACTGCAGGGTGATAGAGGGGAGGGCATGGAAGTTGAAGCTTTCCCCATGCTTTGCTGCTGGAGAAAGAAAAGTCTGCTGGACCCACAGGTTCTCTGTAGCATGACCCATCAGTCACCACACCACAGTGGCTCGTGTTCCAGGTTGACTCTCATGAAGCAGCATTTGTAGTTTAGATATCAGGAAGAAATTCTTCCCTGTGAGGGTGCTGAAGCACTGGCACAGGTTGCCCAGAGAAGCTGTGGCTGCTCCATCCCTGGAAGTGTTCAAGGCCAGGTTGGACAGGGATTGGAGCAACCTGGGCTAGTGGAAGGTGTCCTTGCTCACAGCAGGGGATGGAACTGGATGAGCTTTTAATGTCCTTCCAACCCAAACCATTCTGTTATTTTAAGATTTTACATGACTTGATACAAGTGACAATATCATGTTGTATCCCACAGCATTACCAAGGAGAGGACAGAAGTCATCCTTCAGGGAACATCCAGCCTGGATCCCAATGATCCCACTGCTGTCTGGGAGGAGTATGACTTCAAGTGCAAGCCTGGGGACTTGAAGAGGAGGCCGTGCTTCATCTCCCCTTACCACTACCGCCTGGACTGGCTCATGTGGTTTGCTGCCTTCCAGGTATGTGCCTGTGGGTGTTTGGAGACTTGGGTCTTCCTTGACCAGGAAAAGCAAAATATGACTTAACTATGTGTTGGTGTGGCAGGTGAATGTTGGAATCCCTGGCTAAGCTAATTCTGTTAGGAGAAAAGAAAGACAGAAGGTTGTATTCCTAAAGGATTTGTGCTACTAGTGTAATGAAACTCTCGGCAATTTTATGTGAAGTTTTTGTTTCTCAGCACTAACAAGAATCCCCATTGGGGACATTTCTGGAGACACCAGCTCCACTGCCCACCTGCCTACACATGGACATGGGTCCCCCAAAATGTTTTCCTCACGTGGTATCAGCAAACAGGTGACAGCTATAAATTAAGTAAGAGTGGGAAATGTGAAATATTAATTCTTTTACCTTTTTTAACTTATTTTGCAAACTTCATTTGCGTGATACGAGAGCTCGGACTGGGTTTTACAAAACTGAGGCTTTACAGCAATGACATGAGGCAAACCCATTGCAGATTATCCCAGGCTTTTCTCTTTGTTCCTACATCCTCTCCTGGAATATCCTCTTCCCTCTGCCCCAAACTTCTCTGTTTGCTTTCTTTGTGGTATTTTCATTTAGGCGCCTTTCGGATTCCTCAGCAATGACATAACCCTCGCGCTTTGGCTATGGTTTGATATTTACCCTGCTAGTTTGTGTGTGCTGGAATTTCATTTAATCTGCATTAGGTATGCTTACCCCTCAGCAAAATGACAGTGAAGGTTCAAACTCCAGCCAGCAGCAGTGCTCTGTGTTATGGAGAGGTGCAGAGAGTGGATGGGAGCTGGTGTTTAAATTACACTGGATTTGGGGAGGGCTCTGAGCAGAGGAGAAATGCAGCTGACCCAAGCAAAGGTTGCTTCTGAGGTGAGAGAAAGGCTGTTTCCGGGGCAGGAATGTCCTGAAGGTTTTAAAGTACAAAGGGTTCTCAGGTTTAAGATTGGAGGAGGAGAGGGCACAAGCACTGCTGCAGTAGAGGTGAGCATGAGCTGGGCTGTGGAGAGGGATGCTGGGACACCCCAGGTGCTTATGTACCTGGGGAGGAGGAGGAAGAGGAAATAACTCAGCCTCTTTGCATCTTTATTATTAGTGTTTAATTCATTATTATTAGTGTTTAATTCACTGAAAGGTTCTCTCAAGTGTTTCCATTCACCTGGGCATGGAGGGCTGCTAGTGTGATGTTGAGGTGTGTCTACAGCTGCTAATTAGCAGTGATTAGTGTTGTGGGTCTTCTTGCACTGGCAGAAGAAGGGTGCATCCCTTCCATCAGGTGTGTCTGTCATCCCTGGAGTCCATCTGTCACCTCCCACTACAGCAGCACCTTCTGGAAATGGGTCTCTTGCCCCTTCCTGGCCATCCCAGTGTGTGCATCCCACTGCAGCACTCTCACATCCCTCCTGCACCTGGGGACTTCCCCATGGCCCCTCAGTGCACACGGGTCTCCATGGAGCTATTTCAGGGCCTGCTTTGAAAAGGTATTAACAAAAGGTGCAGAAACGAGGAAAAAAAAAGCCTTCTGGAAAGTGAGGATGACTTGTGGAAAAGTGGGAAGGTGAGTCGCCTAGGCACGGCAGCAAGTGTTTTCAGGTCTGGATGTTCAGGCATGTAAATACCTGCTTAAGCATGGAAGTAAATCCCATTTGGAATGGCTCATTGTTGTTTGAACACTGTGAGCTGTATATTTGGTGCCAGCTGTCCTCCCTAGGCAGGCTGGCTGTCTTGCCACAGCCGGAGAAGTCCCTGTCATTTGGGTGTTGTTTAGACTTGAATCTCGCAGAGCTACAGAAAGGATGAGAAACCAGAATTTGAAAGCCCAGAAGAAGTTTGTGAAGCCAGACAAGTTTTGCAAAACCCGTGTGGTAGTTTACAGAGTCCATAAAACCGAGTTACTTTAGCCTCTGGATTAGGTTTAATTTGTTTTTAGAAGTTCTGGATTGTTTCTCTACCACCACTCACCGTCTGCCCCGGCGCTGTGAGCCGGCGGCCATGGGGCTGGTTTTGCAGTTCGTTGGCAGTGGCCAGGTAAGGAGCTGATATATCCAGCTCTGACAGGCTGCAGAAAAGCCAAGGACTTGGGGGAAGGATATTTACCATCCCTTTGTGCTGCTTGTGACAGGTTCCTCTTTGCACCTCATCACCACTTGACATACGACGCCTTCCTGCACTCAGGGTTTCCTGAGAAACTTTCCACCTTGGCTATAGCTGTGGGATTCACTTTGGAGCTCTGGAGCATGGAGCAGCCAGGCCCATGGCATGAGGAGGGGGAGCCACAGGCACAGCCTCAGTGGGGACTGTGAGGAGCAGTGGTCCTGCTCCACTCTGAATCACAGTTTATTAGTTGCTGCCTCTTAATTACCATGCCAGAGTGCCATAATTACATGTAATGTAACATGGCATTATTTTCCAGGAAATAATTTTCATGATGTTAATTTTATTATCTAAATATAATATGCCTTTTCACTTGTTTTCTAAGTCCCCTCTTTGTTGCGTGTGCCTTGACATCCCGAGGGTGCTGCAGCTCTGAACTGAAACCCTTCATTTCGTTCTGGCAGGAACATAACCCATCCAGAAACATGTCTGAGTTGCTTCTTCCTGTCTGCAGAAGGGGAAAAAAAACCCAGGAATGTGCGGAAATCTGTGTGACCCTTTTCAGTTGTTTCTCAGTGCCACCTCAGGCAGGCTCCCCTTGGCTCCATCCCCCTGCTGTGATACCCTGGTCACTGGGGGCAAAGTGGGCTGGTGTGGTGTCACCAAAATAACATATCCATCACTCAGGAGCTGATGTTCAGCTACTCATTGCTGAGGTTGGTCACTCCAGATCACTTACATCCACCAAAACAATTTAAAGCAAGGGCTGAGCCAGTGTAATAAATATTTTTAAGAGGAGCTACTGCCCATAGCAAGGGGGTGGAATGAGATGGTCTTTAAGGTCCCTTCCAACCCAAACTATCCTGGGATTCTGTGATTCTAAGTGAAAGGAACAGCACAATGTGCTCACTGTGTTTGCAGATGCCACCAGGTTGTGAGCCCTGGGGAGAATCATAGAATCCTGGAATGGTTTGCATTGGAAGGGACCTTAAACATCATTCAGTTCCAATCCCCTGCCATGAGGGACACCTTCCACTAGACCAGATTGCACCAAGACCTGTCCAACCTGGCCTTGAACACTTTCAGGGCTGGGGCAGCCACAACCTCCCTGGGCAGTTCCAGTGCCTCTCTACCCTCTGAGAAGGGAGGAAATAAAGGATGAAATGGCATAATATGATTTAATCTCACAAAATTCAGGTTAAGCATTAGGAATAACTTTCCTCCCTTGACACTTTCATGTGTTAGTGCAAAGACATCATGTTTTTACAGAAGCTGGAGACATATTGTCGAAGCTTTGTCTGTCCTCCAGCTACTGTTGCCAACCCTCTTGTGATTATTTGACTTCTCGTTAGTGGTGGCACTTTAGAAGGAGCCCATTTATCGATACCCAGCACTGAGCTATGCTGTGCTGTTGATACTAAGAGCAGCACAATTTTTGGCAGGCTGTGGGTGGATTCAGCATCATTGATAAATACCAACCAGAAAACAAAATATTGCTCATAGTTTTGGGGCTTCGAGTTGGTCAGTTTTGCTGGTAGCAAGATGTCTCAGACTTTACAAAAATCACTTGTTTATCATCCCAAAGGTTTGTTCTTCACCAGTGGCAGCAGTGGAAAAGCCTTCAGTGCCTTGAGTAAGGAAAAATCAAAAGGAAAGCTTTTCCTCTAATTACTATGGCATGAAGGGTATTTATTCTGTTTGGGGCCTGCATTTGGCCAACATGAAGGCACAGTCTTGGTACTTACCAAATGATAACTACTCAAAAATAACAAAGCCATTACTGTCTTCATATTGTTTTTAAAGCTCAGGGTTGTGATGGATTGTACCTTGAAGCTGCTCCAAAAGCCTCTGTATGTAAAACCCAGCACAGAGCAGCACTTGCAGTTCTGGGCCTCTCACAACAAGAAGGACACTGAGGGGCTGGAGTGTGTCCAGGGAAGGGAACAGAGCTGGGGAAGGGTGTACAGAGTCCTATGAGGCTCATCCAAGAGAAAAGGAGGCTCTGAAGAGACCTTCTCACTCTCTGCAACTCCCTGGCAGGATGTTGGAGCCTGGTGGGAGTTAGACTCTGCTCTGAGGTAGCAAGCAACAGGACAAGAGGAAATAGCCTCAAGCTGCACTAAGGGAGGTTCAGGTTGGACATCAGGAGGAATTTCTTGACAGAAAGGGTTATCAAGCATTGGAAGGGGCTTTCCAGAGAGGTGGTGGAGTCATCATCCCTGGACGTGGTCAGGGAATGACTGGACATGGCACTTAGTGATCTGGTCTAGTTGACAAGGTGGTAATGGTCACAGGTTGGACTCAATGATCTCAGAGGTCTTTTCCAGCCTAAATGATTTTGTGTGGTTCTGTGATTTAGGATGCTCTGAGGAGCAATGTGTGTTTTCCAGATATGATGTTGTTTATAAATAATCTTCAGCTGCCTTCCCAAGAGGACAGAGAACCTTCATGAGCAAGATTGATGCTCTGAGGATCACCCCTGGGTGGTAACAGGGAATCATGATAAGACTTTACGTTATCATGCGTGAACTGGAAGAGCTGAGGAAAAGTAACCCCATTTATAGAGGAGGCAGATTAATATTTTTGTGAAATATTTTATTCAAGCTTCTGTTATCTCAGTCTTCCAGCCAGAAGGTGCTTACAGGAAAAACTGCTCAGCAGCAGAATGGAGGAGGAGGTGTGTGTAACGTAATAAAACCTAAACCTCATGCTCACTGTACCCAGCTCAGCCTTTTACATTTCCTTTCTTCCCCCTTCTGAAAACACAGGCCTCAACTCACTTCCATTTTCCATTGCAGCATTTTGGGCCGTGTTCAGCATGGAAGAATTTTATTTTCTTCTTTTAGCTGTGATTAGTTGTCTCCCTGTGAATATGAACAATTCCAAAGCCCCAAGCTGCAGTGAGCCAAGCTGCAGCCTGGCTCATGGGCAGAGTCACCTCCAGCACTAACATTGCCATGGAAGTGCCCAGAATTCCAAATCAGTCTGATAGCCTATCATGCCATGGGCTGTATAAATACAGAGTGAGACCTTGTCCATGCAGGGAATGATTATTGTCTGCAGTGACCATTGTATCTCCCTGTCTAGACTGTTCTGGAACAAAGTGACTGTTCTTTCCCGATACAGAGGTGATACGGGAGCTGTGCCAGGTGTGCTGTTTCCCTGGATAGGTGGGATCTAAGAGCTGGTTCCCAAATTCTTGCCCTGCTCTCTCATACAACCTTTTATTCCTCAGTCTCGACCTGCCTCATTCAGGGAGCAGCTGTTTTCCCAAGGATTTCCCAATAGGATGGCCTGATGCTTTTGGTGCACAAATGTCCATGCTGAGATAGTGGGACAGACCTGCGGAGACATGGCTTGTCCCTTAGTGAATCTAATACAAAGGAAAGGGTGAAATTAGGAAGAATTTGTTCCCTGTGATGGTGCTGAGGCACTGGCACAAGTTGCCCAGAGATGCTGTGGCTGCCCCAACCCTGGAAATGTTCAAGGCCAGGTTGGATGGGGCTTGGAGCAGCCTGAGCTGGTGGAAGGTGTCCCTGCCCATGGGGGGGGGATAGAATGAGATGATCTTTAAGGTCCCTTCCAACCCAAACCATTCTGGGATTCTGTGTGGTTATTTAAAATAATGAGACATGATGCGACCTGACCCTGATCCTTCCTTGATTAAGTTATTTGTGAAGTGAAATAGTAGCAAACAGTGATGAGCTGGAATATTGTAAAATCACAAAGGATTTGCATCAGTTGTGCCCTGTTTGCTGTGCGATTATTTCTCCTGATAGCTCAAGTTCCCTAAACAGCAACAGTTAAGGTGCTTAGCTACAGAAGTGGCAACAGCAGTGTGACTACTGGGTGAAAATACCCAGGACAGTGGAATTCCACTGTTTCATCCCGTGGTAGGTCAGCTGTGACGCAAAAAATGCCCCTTACGCTTTAGCAAGGGAAATGTGAACCTCCCCTGCCTCTCTGTCAGCCACCAACTCCAATGTGAAACCATGCAGGGCTCCCAACCACGTGAAATAATAACACCAGGCTCCTGTGCCAAGTTTCCAGCTGTTTCCACATGTGCATCTCGGCCTTACCTCCTCCCGTGCGCCTGTGCCAGGACCGAGATTCAATAAAATGCCACACTAATCCGCAGTCCTTTTTCATTAAATGACCAATTAAAGCTAGAGGAAAAGGGTTCTTATTATTATTATTTCAGTTGGGAACATGTTCCCTGTAGCGCCAAGTGGGTTTTATATGGATTTTTTGTGATGATAATATTCTCTTTACTTTGTTATCTGCAGAGTTTGGTTGCTACTGTGTCTGCTGCACTCTGGCTCCTCACTGGTGCCTGACTTAGCAGTGATTTGGTTTTAAATTCTGTAAAGTTATTAAATACTTCTGGACACAAGTTAATGTGTTCAAGGTGAGAACACTGTGTTTATATGCTGGAAAAGTGTCTAAGTGGAGACATCAGGGAGTATCAGCAGTTGGAGAGAAGTCTCAGGGCAGTGTTGTGCAGGAGGTGAGGTACCAGGGTGTGCAGTGATGCTCAGCTCCTTGTGCTGGGCCATGTGTGGGTGGAAGAAGGAACAAATCCCCATCTCAAAGTAACATTTGGAGTGAGACTGGCACAGAAAGCCAAGGGGAAGTGTCTGCCTCAGTACAGCATGGGGCTGAAACCCATCAGGAAATAAAAGCTCATGGAGTCTTAACACCTGGTGCCAGGTCCTTTTTGTTCATTCACTCTGATGTACCTGAACTTTGGAGGTTCTGAGTGCTGGTACCAGCTGTAGGGACAGTTAAGAATGATCTGGCTGGAGAGTTCCCTCTCACATTTCTGTGAGTCTGCGCAGAGTGTCCATGAGCCCAGAAATGCTTTGACTTTGAGGTGAGGGCAGGGTCACACTGGGAATCTTCATCTCTACCTGCACTGCCTTGCTCAGTTAGTTGGGGTTTTTGCATCTTTAGGTCCCTTAATTGCTTCTTATGCTGAAACAGAAAGAAAACTCAAATGATAAAGGAGGGAGGTTTGTCCCTTCTTTTGGGGAGCTGCACCTCCCTAGGGTTGACAGTGAGCTGTGGTATATTTTGGCATGCTCCAATCTTATAACAGCAGACTGTGCAGGTCAGTGGTTCCCCAGTAATCCCAGCACAGTTATGGCACGGGTCCTGCATGGCATGTGGGGAGCTGTAGCCCCAATATTTGGAGGGCAGGAGGCAGGTGTGGCAGTCTTGGTCAATGTCCATGTCTTGATGGAGATGGAACAGCCCAGGGAGCCATCACAGTGCAGGGTCAGTCCCCAACTGCTTGTCTTGGTGCTCAGTGAAGATCCAAACCCTAAAGATGACCACATATAATATGTGCATCTATCCTGGCTTTTTAAATTTTTTTTTCTATTAATCCACTGGATGATTCAGTCTCTGACTCTTCTCTTTTGCACACTCAGAGCTGGCAAGAGTGGAGCCCAGCACCAGGTGAATCCCTCTGTCCTAACTGTGCAGACCCTGTTCAGGTCTGGCTCTTGCTAAATCCACATACAGAGGAACCATCACCTTCCCACCCTGTGGTGTGATGCTTCCCTGGATGCAGCCCAGATCTCCTGGACTCTTTTTTTTCCCTCCCTTTGCCACCATATCACTTTACAGAGTAATGAGTTAAGCAGTGCAGTCGTTAGCTCCGTGCTCCCGGCGTCCAGCGATATCCAAGCCCTCATGCAGGGGATGTGGGGGGCTGCACTGGGTGGAAATTTCTCACCACAGACTTTGCTGGGGCCAGACATGTTGTAAATTTTATAGAAAAACACTTTACAGACCAGAAGTCCAACTCTTGTGTGCATGGAGCTGCTAATTAACAATTTGGAGACCATGTGAGCTGATTCCATCACAGAGCCTCATGGTTCTGAATCAGCCTTTGAAGTTTTGGGAGCCTCCAGCCAGCTCTAGCCCAGGGAGACTGGTCACTCCTGTTTCTATTGCCCTGTTTCTCCCTACCTTGCACACAGGACTCCTAAAACCTCCCAGGCCCTACTAGAAATAGTACTTTAAATCATACCGACCACTTGTGAAAGGGACGTCCAGGGAGGCACAGGATGCTGAAGAACTGACTCGTGATATTTGATCACTGTAATTGCTGTCACACCTCTGGGGAGGTCCACAACCATGGATTCCTCAGGCTGCAAGTCTCAGGGTGGCACTCACCCTCCCAAATCCCAGCCTGTGTCAAGCATCTCTGGCATCACAGAACCACCAAAGGGCACAGAGTCTTGTCATGAGTAATCCCATAATGACACAACTGGGCCTTTGACAGGGATGGTGCCAACTCTCCCTGCAGCTTTTTGTGAGATTTGCAAGGTCTGTGTTAAACATCTCTTGGCTCCAAGTCTCACCATCCTCCCAGACTGCTGCATCAGGGCCATGGTGGCCTCGTTCTGTGGGGACTGAGGTTGTCTTGTCTCTCCTTGAGAGCTGTCACCACCTCCTCTGTGTCAGGAGATGGGAGACAGGGGGTGGCACAGGGGGAGAGAGGGATGCACTGGAGGTTGAACTTGGGGGTGGCAGAGCACAGCACAGGGCTGGTGGTGCTGAGAAGCATCCTTAGCTCCATCACCCATCCATGCTGGTGGTGCAGCTGGGACAGAAGGGAGAGTAATCATTTTTACAAAGCTGTTGGCTTAAATAACTGTGGTTTTCCTCTAAACTGTGATGAGCACAGGTCAGAAACCCTACGAGGTAGAGCTGCCCTCGATGGGCCTTTCCACCAGAGTTTGGTGTTTTCCATGTCCTTTCTCTCCTGTTTCCCTTAGCAACGGAAATAACAAACTTTGCCATTAGAACAGATTTGCAGAGTAGCTTTGCCTCAGTGTTCTGTCTTAGTCACAGTCCTGCAGGTACAGCTCCTGGGTTTTGCTTTCCCACAGTGTCCCCTACTGCTTGGACTCAAAAATCCAGTTAGGAGCACATTGAAAGAGGAAAAAAAGAAGAGGAGGGAAATAAAGAAATCTTAGTGAAGTACAAGGCACAAAAAATCACCCAGAAGGAGAAATACTTTTTATGGAGCTTCAGCAAAGAGCAGGAGATGCATGGATTCCTGGAGGGAGGTAAATCATACAATCAGAGAATATCTCAAGTCGGAAGGGATCATAAGGATCATCAAGTCTAACTCCCTCCCTGCTTCTCACCTAAATGCAGAGTCAAGCTCTGCCACTGCAGCTTGGGCTGTAGGTCCCAGCGCTGTTCCTGTCAGTGGCTCCATGAGGAGGGATGTAAAGAGGATGGGTCACGTGGAAAGAAATAAAGAGGAGAGGAATCAGGAATAGAGGAGGCACTTTCTTCTGTTTTCCCTTGGATAGCACAACAGGGGAGAGCAACCTGGTTAAAGATGGTGGCTGGATTGTCCTTTCAAGGGTGCTGTCACTGTTCCCCTGTGGAGTTTGATTATTTAAATTAAATATTTGGGGGACAGAATTGTCAAGAACACTCCAACCATGTTAGAGGTGAGCGAAACTCGGTGAAGCTCTCCCTGCTCCCCACAATTGCCAGAGGCTTGGTCTAGACCTCGAGGTGTTGGATCCCATGGGATGTTAACTGAAACAATGGAAAATTCATTGTTTGCCACCCAAGTCTGTTGAAATCTCCCCCCAAGGACCACACAGAAGTCTTTAATGCTGATGACACTCCAGGACAAACACAGCCGTGCCTAACAGTTATATTTCTTATTCCTTCCCCAAGACCTATGAGCAGAATGAATGGATAATCCACTTGGCTGGAAAGCTGCTGGCCCAGGATGAAGACACCTTGTCCCTGATGGCAACAAACCCATTCACAGGCAAAGCACCTCCACGGTAAGCTTGGAGTTATCCCAAGGGAGCTGGGAGCACCCAAGCTCCACGTTGTTCCCATCTTGGACGTGCATGGGTAGTTTCTGATGGTGGCTGGGGTTTGTGTTTGATGAAATCCAGGTGATCTTTAAATAGGGTGGGTTTGATATGAGGACACCAAGGTGCTGTCAGCACTGAGAACACAGGGACCCTTTGGATGAGCCCATTCCCAGGCAGGTCCATGTCAGGTCAGTGTTGCTTCTCTTGGCCAGAAACAATGATTTCTGTTGCGGTTTCCTGCCCATCAGCTTTAGATTTTTTGCCACGGTCACTTTGTGAGCTCAGATCAAAACCCACCGTTTCTATGGACCTCCTGAGGTGTTTCAAAGACAAAACAGCCCTGCAGAAATGGTTGGTTTTGTGGACACTTGTCTTGGAATTGTTTGTGTTTTCAAGGAAGAGACAAAGCAAACATCAGCCAGGGAAAGGCACAGATGAAAACTCTAAGGTTTTATACAAAAGATTTTTCACAAAAGGTCTGTTTTGTTGGTGGAGTTATTTTTAGCTGAGAAAACATTTTTGGGGCATTTTGGATCAACTCAAGTAATATTATGCTCTTGCTAATATTTTCCATTTGAGGCTCTTAGGATGCACTGCAAACAGGGATGAAGGTTCAGAGCACTGTGTGGAATGAACTTCCCCTTGAACCCTACAGATGTTTTTTGGCTTTAGGACAGTGCATCCCCCAAACCTTCTGAGTAGAGATTCCTTTTCCAGCTGAGGCACTGAGAGCTTCCACCTTTTACCAAAGTGCTTCCTCTGAGGTTTATACGTCCCAAGATGGTAAAAATCATAGAATCCTGGAATGTTTTGAGTTGGAAGGGATGTTAAAGACCATCTAGTTCCACCCCCTGCCATGGGCAGGGACACCTTCCACTTGCCCAGGTTGCTCCAAGCCCCATCCAACCTGGCCTTGAACACTGCCAGGGATGGGGCAGCCCCAGCTTGTCTGGACAACCTGTGCCAGTGCCTCAGCACTCGGGAAGGGAAGAATTTCTTCCAATATCCTATCTAACCCTGCCCTCTGTGGTCTAGGGGAAGGTTTCCCTGCCTCTGGCAGGGGCTGGAATGAGATGATCTTCAAGGACCCTTCCAACCCAACCCATTCTGGGATTCTACAGCTCTGTGGGATTCTGGCATCATGTGCAAGGCTGAGCCCGAGAACCTGTGTCGCATCAGCTCCATCTCGAGTAGATTTATCACCCCAGCGTCACCAAACATCCCTCATGTCCCCAAGGCTCAGTGCCATCAATTCCCTGATTGTTATTCATTACAGGGTGTTCCTCTGCATTGCCTTTTTAATTAAAATCCCACAAAAATACAAGAAAGTAAGTAATTCCTGAGTGCTGGCTGACCCCAGGGGGCTTCAGCAGAACCTGGGACCTTCAGACACTGAGTCACCAGGTTGAAATACTGTCCCCTGGTGCCAGCAGCCAGAAGCTGTGACCATATGGTGGCTGCTGGAAGTAAATGGTTCTGTGGCTCATGGAGCAACAGAAGCAGTTTATAATCCCAGAGCTGTTTATGACCACGTGTCCCCCAGTGCCATAAACGTGGCTCCTGGTCTGTGACTGAGGCTGGAAACAAGACATCAGAGCAGATTAAAAATCAGGACAATGTCCATCACCTCTTGCTCTCTGAGATGGGCTGTGTCTCTTCTCTGCTTTCTGGCATCAGTGGTGTTAAAAAATATTAATTAAAATCAAGTCAGAAACTCTTTTCAAATGGAAATAATGAAGTGGGATGTGGCTGGGATAACACTATCTTGCTCCAGGTGGTGAATAGAGGGATTTTTACTGCATTGTGTAACAGGTGAGGAAGTAAGACCTTCAGGAACTTAAAGCAAATCTAAAAGCAAGTCTTTTTCTTCGTTAGTTTTTATAGGCTAATGATTTCAGAACAGACAGAGGAATACAGAAATGTCCAGTAGGTAATTCCACAGCAGTATGGATGCTGTGCTGAGCACACAGTGCTGTAGATTTGTTCAACTGGGTCTTAATTCATGTGTTCCCTTGTTTTACCCAAAGCACAGCCTCTGTTTTCACTCCTTAGCAGGGAGTTTATGGTAGGAAAAGCTCAGGATCCAGCATGTGTTTATGTGTCAGCTGCCTTGGCTCTGCCACTAGCTCTGCATTAAAACTTATCCATGGATCTAGTATAGTTTTGGGTGGTGTAAAATAAAAATAACCATTTGCAAATGCTGATCTGGGCTCAGACTAAAGCCCAATACCTGTCAGGATCCCAGGCAGTGGGTCACATTTGAGGTCTTGGAGAGCCAAATTCACCTGCCACATAGGCACCATCTGGTGGAGTCCTGAGCAGCCTGGTCTAGTGGAAGGTCTCTCTGCCCCTGGCAGGAGATGGAACTGGATCAGCTTTAACATCCTTTCCAACCCAGACCCTTCCATGATTCTGTGATTCTATGAGCTGGATTTTTATCCAGGTTGAGGGCAAGGGCTGAGGATGCAGGTGGGTGCTTACAGCTGGGGTGGTGGTATAATCCACACACACAGGATCCTCCTGCACCCAGGGCACAACTCCAGGCACATTCCTATCAGAGAACCATGGCCAAACCCCAAGTGACTGATCTGCACCATCTAATCTGGGTGTAAGAAGATTAGATTGGCTATTAGGAAAAAATTTCTTTATGGAAAGAGTCGTCCAGCCCTGGCACAGGCTGCCCAGGGCAGTGGTGGAATCACCATCCCTGTAGGGATTTAAAAGCCCTGGGGATGTGGCACCTGGGGATGTGGTTAATGGTGGCATTGGCAGTGCTGGTGGAATGGTTGGAGTCGATGGTCTCAGAGGGCTTTTCCAACTTTTCCATGATTCTATGAAGAGGCACTTAGCAGGATGCTTACTTTTTTAATCAAGACCCTTAGCAATCCTTACCTGGAGCAGCATCCTCAGCGCTGACAGCAGCCATCGCCTTTGTGTTATTATCTCTTTTCAGCTGTGAACAAAAACCTTAAATTTGAGCCTCAGCAGCAACACCTGGAAAGAAAAGAGACTTGAGGGTGGCTGTAACTCCAGTGGTTTCTAAAGGGCAACCCTGTGCCCTCACCCATGCTCCAGAGCCCACTGGTGGCTGCTGCCAACCTTGGGGATCCCTTCATTCCCACCATGGCCTGGATCCCTGCAGTAGCTGGGTGGAAAAGCCCCTAATTTTCCTACCATATTCCCCCCTCCCTCCACTCTAAAGGGAATTTTGAGACTTAATTATTTTCATTCCCTGCTAGACTAAATAATTAGGGGAAGGGACTGTTTTCCATAAGAACCTTACGCTCCATCCTCCACGGAGTTTGTTCTGTTAATGGAAACTCTACACCTTAAATAGCCAAGGGACTTTCAAAATGAGTTAATGCCTTCGAAATGAAATTTCGGAGACCAAAGTTTGTAGGTTTCTTTACAACTCAAGAAATTATAGTATTTTTTCAAGTGTGATAAACTTAAAATGAGAAACAGGTGACTGATTAAAAATGAGGGTATTGTTGAGCGCTCGGCCAGGCTGAGTGTGAAGCTGGACTTCAAGCCCAGTGATGTTTGGGGAATGTGGATTTACAAAATATCCTGGTGCAGTGGATAGTTCATAAAACAGCAGCCATCATAAATCTGAACGGGAGGGCTTTGGCTGAGGAATTAATAAGTGTTTAACACACCGTCATGGAAACAGGCTGCAGTGAGAAAAGAAAACAGAAATCAGGTTTTGCCTGTAGGAGGGGAAAAAAACCCCATTTTTTAAATTTTGACCTGAAGTGTTTGTTGTCTCTGATATTAAATCATGTTCACTTTAGGACTTTTATTCCAATTATAGTAGCACTTTGTTGAAAAAGCCTCAACATGTATGTGAAGACTTGGATCAGTCATGATGGTGTTAGTGAGGGAGGTGGTGCTTGCCTTTGGATGCTCCCTGGCTACAGGAGCACAACAAGAATTTGGGATTCTTTTTTTATTTACTTGTCCATTTATTTTCCATTTGTGCCACAGTTACTTGGGGCATGTTGAACTGGATTTCCAGGCTGTGTAGGTCACCAGACCCTAGCAGAAGGTGTGTAGGTTCTTTCCTGTGGGATCTATGGAGACACAGTCCAAGTGATGAGAAGAGCTTCGTCATATTTGCACATCGTAGAAGCGACTTTGGGGGTTGCCCCCCCAAAAAAAGGGTAAAGGTAATTTTGTAGGTGTTGAGAGCAGTGCAGAGAGCAGGCAGGGATGGGAGTTACTGGAAAATCTGGGCATTACTGGGACACAGGAAATGACATCTCTGTGGGGGTGCAAGGTTGCTCCCAAAACATCTTTAGAGGAGACAGGAGCAGTCCTGATGGGCATGGGATGCTCTGTGGGGATGTGAGTCCTTCAGGGTTTGAATTTGGCTTTGCTGAACCCTAGGTGCCTACTCTTCCCCCAAGGCATTTCCCTGCCAGGACTACTCTCCCTCCCAGTACCTGTGTGGTCCTGCAAGGAGAGAATGTAAGGGATGTAAATTCACAGAGCCCCCAACACCTCTGCCATGAGTGCTGTTGTCTTCTGCCCAAAGTGCAATATTTTGTGTGGTTTTCCCACTGAAAAGCGGCTTTGTCAGCAATGAAACTGTCCTGGGAGGTGACAGGATCCTCAGAGGTGGAAAAGTATACATCTTTTGGTCCTTTTCATTGCTTTTTGCCATGGTGACATGTTTTCTTGCAGTTTGTTTCTTCTTCCCCATGTACCAGAATTTAAAAGAAAACCTTTAATTTATCAGCACCATTATAATGTTGGATATTATCAGAATGAAATTATTCCATGGTCCTGAAGGGAAGTTTAAGGGATTTTCTTTTGGTGAAAGCAACCTCAGTATTTCAACATGAGGGAAGGCAGAGCTTGTCTCAAAATGTCAGGATTTCCCCCAGGGTGGGAAATCTGGTTTCCAGCCACCTCTGGTAGCCATGGGGCAGCTTCACTGTGGTCAGGACAGCATCACATGT